GCCTGGCCTCAATGCCATCTGAATGATAGGTGTTCAAATGCTGGCTCTCTCATGAGGCACTTCTATTGGTTCTATGACGTCCTCCCCATTGCATGATTCCATTTTCTTTTTTTTTTTTTTTTTTAAGATTTTATTTATTTGACAGGCAGAGATCACAAGTGGGCAGAGAAACAGGCTGAGAGAGAGAGGAGGAAGCAGGCTCCCTGCTGAGCAGAGAACAGGATCCCAGGACCCTGAGATCATGACCTAAGCCGAAGGCAGAGGCTTTAACCCACTGAGCCACCCAGGCGCCCTACATGATTCCATTTTCATTCCCTTTTCCTGCTACTCTCAACAGTAATGCATAGCCTTTTGGCTTCTGGGGTCATTTTGTGTGGTAAGCATCTCTCCTCAGATGGCTATAGGAAGAAGACTCAAGCCGAGCTACTTTTTGCAATGCCAGAGGGAGCACAGGTATCCTTGCCATGCCCAGGGTAGGAGTGCAGATGACTGTCCTGCTCACCCAGCTCGATTGGTTGTTATTGTGGCAGATGTAATAATATTCACCTAATATTCCATATGCTTCCCTTTATTTCCCAGTCCCTTCTGGAGTTAGGGAGGACATCTGCCTAGATTTGTAGAAAGTCCATGTGCCATATATGGTCAGAGGCCACTAAGAAGGTATGAACTCTCTGTACTCTATTCTCTTTCACTGGCCACTCAGAAGTCCACATGTTAAGATGGCAGAATCACAAGGTGGCTCAGCCTGGAACCCCAAGCAACTATGTGGAATAGGATCCCTCACCAGTCATGAAAGACATAGTGTGTGCACAAGAAATAAATCTTTGTAATTTAAGCCACTGAGATTTGGAGGTTAATTTGTCACCACAGCAAAACCTACCTTCCTATCCATCTAGCATTCTATCTAGGCAAATATTTATATATAATTATTTTGTATATAGATGTTTATTATATGAATTCATATAAATATATACTTATTACCTTTAGTTATGTGTTCCATATATGGTAGGAATAAGTTATACACATTATATAAAAACTGAATGTTTTATATAATAAATAGTATTACATAAAATATAATACATTACACTAATATAATCAATATCATTAATATTAATAAAATAAATAATTAAATAACTTAAAATAAGCACTGTCTTAAATCAGGACTATCACTAGTTAGAAAGCAAGTAAATTAGTAATACACGATCATCACACCCATTGCAAAACAGACATCAGAGCAAACAAAGAAAAGTGACTCACTGTACAATTAATTAAAAAATGATACACAAGAGAATTTTTAAAACTTAGAAAAGAGAAACATCTAGAAAATGAAGATGATAACACATTACATCCACCACATATATCTGTAAGTCACAGCCCAAAGTGTAAAAATCTCAGGGAGCTGCTAACTTACTATGTAGGAGAGTTTGCCCTCCTCTTTATGGTAGAATGGGGCCCAGAAGTTGTGTGAAATGCAGTATTCTGATCTAAAAATGTGGGTCTGCAGATAAGAAGTAACAAGAGAACAAGGTTGTGTTCTGGTGAATTGGCCCTCAACACCTAGAAAGGAGACAGCAAAGTTAGTTGTCAGCCTAAGGCGTCTGCAGAGCAGCAAAAACACAACTGTAGTTTCATACACTAAATTATGTTCACAGTGAGGAGCTTGCCTCCTGCAAAAGGCAGGAATCCTGTTTAATAATTTGTGTTTAAAAAGGTATCAAATTAGAGAACATATTTTATTAAAATTCACATAAAAAATAGTCATTTCAAAAAAGATTAGTGCTGAAGGAGATATATCAACATTCCACTTTTCTTCTCACAGCTCTGACTCCACTGTCCCCTCCAAATGTGGAGATTATATAGCCGTGTTCCTCAAGAACTGGAATGTAGGAAACATCACCCCTTCCTAACCCTGCCTCATTCCCTTTTAAGCTCCAGAGTAGTGAATAATCATTTACCAGTAAGACCTTTGGAATAACATTCAGTTCAGTATGGTTTCCTTCACAAAATTACCTTCAAGAGCTGGAAAGGGTGTGAGATTTTTCCTGTTTGCAAGCTAACAGGTTATCCTGCCAAGTTTCATGGATGAGGGCAGAAGACCCAAAACTCCTGGGTCATAGACGAAGGCCAGTTTATAACTCACAGCAACAGCAGTAGCTAGAGTATTGGCATTTTTGTGGTAGTTCCATGAAGCCCAATTCCCACAGGGTGACGTGAAGAAAGCAAGAAGATACCTGTGCACACAGAGGGTTGCATTACAAGAGAGGAACCTGGAGCTTAGGGAACTTGAATCTTTTATAATGAGCACTAGGCATACCTTCCCTTTATTCCAGAGGGAGACATCATCTTTATTATTTTGGACAAGAAGCATGCCTGCCCTTTACTCCTGAGGGAGACACTATCTCTATCTACTAAGACTCTTCTAGATATAAATATCCTTGAAAAGACAGCTTGAAACAAAGGGCAGGAAATGCCTCACTGATAAGACGTGCAGAAACACAACAGATGCGTTTGTCTTCCAAATGTTGTTGAGAAAAATATAAAATCTAAAAAGTTTTTGGAAACAAAAGATAATACAGAGGCTTCCAGATTGTACTTCAGTTAGCATCCCAGCCCACAGTCAGTCCAAATGATGACATTTGAGGCCTGCTGAATGCTGATCTGCCATAGTGATTGGAACCTAAACACCCTGGACAAAGAATAAGAAAGAATTTTAATGCCCTCATCAACTACCAACTCCATGCACATAAACAATAGAATATAACTTTTTTGAGAACTATGTATGTCTTATTCATTGCTATATCCTCAAGTTCCTAAAACAGCACCCAGCATATAAGAGACATTCAATGTTTACTGACGAATGGATGGATGAGGTTGACCTCATTACTTTTCAAGGATATTGGCAGCAACATACATTTTTCTGATTAAATCACGATAGAAGGAAGTTCATCTGATTAAATCAGAAAGTATGTGAAATACAGCCCGGAACTTCCATTTTGCTCTACAGCTCTTCAGAGTTTAAAAAGAGGGAATTCTTTGAATACATATAATTTTTCTTGAAGGTGTAAGCATTTGATTTTCTTTAATACAAACATTGAAAGTTTTCTCTATTTTTGCTATGGTTATGAACAGATGGAACTAAGACAGTGGAAAGGGGTGAACGTGGAAGGGGAGGGACAAAACCACAGTGTCGGTCTGTGTGAGATTAAAGAAGTAAGTCGTCAAGGTTACAGACAAGTAGGGAAGTTTCAAGTATACATAACCCCTCTCTGAAGAAATAAAAGAGATGACCATGGGGAAGAAAAGGGCACAATAAAGAAGAGACAGTTCCCTAAACTGCAGTCAGGTGGTTCCATGGACCCAAGAGCCTGGTTATCCTATAGAATGCTCTGGCGGGGGGTGGGGGGGGGCAGTTCTTAACCCTGAGAGGAGATTGACAGCACAAAGAGAAAAAACTCAATTCCCTTTTATTTTTTTTTAAGATTTTATTTATTTTATTTGACAGACAGAGATTACAAGTAGGCAGAGAGGCAGGCAGAGAGAGGAGGAAGCAGGCTCCCTGCTGAGCAGAGAGTCTGATGCGGGGCTAGATCCCAGGACCCTGGGATCATGACCTGAGCCGAAGGCAGAGGCTTTAACCCACTGAGCCACCCAGGTGCCCCTCAATTCCCTTTTATACAGAATGTATTCTCTTGTATTCTCACCTCAGCTAATTTATTCACATTTGGTTTAGAGATGCCAACTTACTGCCAAATCAGTAAATACCAACTCAGGATTTACTGTTTGTAATTTATCACAGTTTCCCAGGAGCCAATTGTAGGAATAGTGTATAACAACATGCCAACTAAGTAGGAGCAAATGGAAAGGGGAAAGAATCCTTAAAATCAATGAGGCTTTTCTTTTGTTGTGTTGTTTGCTTTGAATTAAGATCAATATACCTAATCAAAGAAGATAAGTACCTTTAATAGGTGTCTTCTACAGCAGTAGTCAGGAAATACTGCTGCACATAGGCAGAGTCCAATCTCCAGTTCTAAAATCTATATTCATTTAATATCCATAAAGAGTAGTTGGTTATCTAAAATATGAAGTTACAAGTCTGCCTGGGTGGCTCAGTTGGTTAAGTGGCCACCTCTTGGCTTCGGCTCAGGTCATGATCTCAAAGGTTGTGGGATAGAGCCCTGCATTGGACTCCGTGCTCAGTGGGACATCTGCCTGAAGATTCTCTCCCTCTGCTCCTCTCCCCCACTCATGCATGTGTGTGTGTGTGTGTGTGTGTGTGTGGCACATCCCCAAAGGTTCTATGCAGTTTCTCCCTTAACTTCAGAAAAGTGCTACAGACTTAACACTCCAAGATCATTTGAAAGTTTAATTATTTATTTTCTTTTATACTGATTTTAGTTTTGGGAATATTTAATGGTGAATTATTGATTTTAATTGTTAGCCTCTCTGACTGAAGATCCTAAAGTTTAAAATAATAAAATTTGCTATGCAACATGTTCAAAACTAAATAAGAAAGAACTTTAAGGTCTATATCTGCGGTCAGGTAAGGCAAATACATTCTATAGGAAAGATGGATTTGAGAACATATGTCATCCTGAGTGTAAATGTCAGGGTACAAGCAAAAATTCCAGGCAGTTTTGCAGACTTTCAAGGCAATGGAACTGGTAAGACCCAAGTTAAGGTCTCTTAATGGTAAAGAGGGACCCAGGTAATTAATATATGGGTTATGGATGGAACAAACTGAAAATTTCATAAAGGTAAGTGTATGATATAATGAAAATACGTAGAAAAATAGGATGCCAGAGTAGGTTAGACTTGAAGGACCTAGGAAAGGTGGAGGGGTCTTCTGGGCTGGTGGGTGGGGGAGGGGCTATAGACACATCCTCTTTGATTGTCACCTCCCTCACCCTCAGAAACTCTTTGTGACAGTGCTCTGTGATGTACAACTGGGGAGGATATATATTCAGTGTGTGAACAGTATAGGCTGTCTTGTGATTCAGACAATGGAGTTCAAACACTGGAATGTTCTCTCATTTCTGAATAGCAATACTAAACCATGTCTGAGCATTGGCTCAACATGCTTGGAGGCTGATCCCAACTTCACATTCCTGTGTGGGTTGGGATTGCTCCTTCTATTCCTGTGCTACATGGTGGGTATTCCATTTCCAACTTGGAAAACCAAAACCACCCAAAAGGTAAGAAATCCTTGTGGGGGCAGGGGGATGGTGCTCAACATGGATTATTATGGTTTCCATTCCTAATCCCAAATTTTAAAATTCTTTTTTTTTTTTAGAGATTTTATTTAAGAGAAAGCAAGACAGCACAAGTGGGGTAGAGGGACAGATGGAGAGCTAAACAGGGAGTGCCATGGGGGGCTAGATCCCAAGATCCTGGAATCCTGACCTGAGCCCAAGGCAGACGCTTAACCAACTGAGCCAATCAGGTTCCCTAAGCCCAAGTTTTAAAATGAGTTTGGTAGAGTCAGAGAAACACCTAAAACAGGAAGTCTTAAGAGAACAGACATTCGTTCCTCTAGGAAAAGAGGCCTGGCAGAGGTAAGGGTTAAGGAAGGACTTAGGTTTCTACTTGAAACTCACAGTCTATCTGGGTATGGTAGTGGGTCTTGGGTAAAATCCCAAACACAGAGATTCTTTAGTCCAGAACTGGATTATTTTGAGAGTATGAGGTCTGTGTAAGAGAACGATTTCCCAGCAGCTCATCATGAGTCACATTCCCATGTCCAGCATCACTCGATCAAGCCTTCCTTCATGCTGGGCTGATCAGTGCTGAGCCTTTGAGAAGAGAATAGGGTCTGAGCTATGAGTAGGATACAGGGTCCTACCTGAGGCAGCACAGATGTGATTGTTGGACTTCATTTTCTATGTTCTCATAGAACAAAGGACTTCTGACTGAGAATATCAAGTGTGGACCTCCCAGACACTCCTCCTCTGAGTGTTTCAAAGAAGTAAATATTGAGAACATTTTATAATCTTAAAAACTGAAAAAAGCAAGGAACACAAAGTTCTATTAATTAAAGTCATAATATTAGATAAAGAATGTTTTCGTTTCTGGGATAAGAGTAAGACCCCCCTCATTCTTTTTATTTTTGTTCTAGTGTCAGGGTAGAGCCAAGAGGAGGAGAAAAGGTAGGACTCTGAAAGGTAAGGGTCTGCCTATTCCACCTGAGCTCTCCAAGGGTGATCCCTGCTGTTCTCTCCATAAGGGCTCAGGTCCATGAACTCTGAGGATGCAGCTCCTGGATACATTCCCTCTCAGAAAACAGAGGCCTCAGAGGAGAGGCTCATGCAAAGGTAGCCAGAGTGCAAAACCCTTCTCAGATTCCCTGCTCTGACCATTACTGAGCATGAAGCAGTGATGGATCTGGACAATGAGTGTTGCCCATTAGGTGGCCGTGTGAGATGTCAAGGGTCAGAACTTCTGTCTCCTAACTTTGTGAAAGCTCTGTGACATCATGGATACTCAGGATTTTTCCCTGAGGTAACCACTGACCTTTGTGCTTCACGGAGGTGGTCTGATCATCACATGGGAAAATTTACATGAAAGTACATTATACATGAAGAAAGATTACTAACCAGCTTCACATCATTGGCCATTTGCCCTCATCTATTGATTATTGGGGCTTTCAGAGTCCAACATGCCAAGGCTGTCCCATAAGGGGAATACTGTATTATTACCTATGTTTCTACTTTCACTATATAACTCATTCTCCTGTTTCCCCAGATGACAGATGGTACCAATGGGAAGTAGAGGAGACCCGGAAGCTGATCTCTGTTTTAAGGTGACCAGTCTTTCCCGTTCTATCCTGTTGCCTCTTAGAGCACGTTTTAGGCAATTGCAGGATTCACTGCAGTCTGTCATACCATGGGAGGGGGTTGCCATAGGAACAGATATTGGGGTGAAGGCTACTGAGTACACTGTCAAGTCATAAAGGTGGGGCATTGTGAAGGGGCATAATGCTTCAGGTGGCCCCTCCCTTGTCAGGCCTGAATGTCCTCCTCCCCTGTTCTGGTCCTGCTGCAGCTTTGTACCTCCTGTCTCCTGCAGCCCCCTTGACGGCATCATGATACCATCCATTTTCATCAGCTGTTATGTCCAGACCCCTCCTGTGAGGTATGTAATAGCACAACTGCTGAGATCAATCGGCTGCTGTTCCTGCAGGCTCTGGAAGATTCTACTCCCTTGGCTTCCACAGCTCCTGTGACTTCTTCATCATTCACTCTCTCCCCTGACTTCTTAGCAGTCCCTCAAGGGGACCTAATATCAGCTTCTTTGCCCGAGCCTTCCCTGCCACCTGCCTCCATCTTCTCACCTAACTCAGTGATCCCTGTGGCAGACATTTTTCCACCCTCACCACCAGGTGATTCTTTGCCACCAAAGCCTTTTCCTCCTGTGGATTCCAAATTCCCAAGGGAACGTTACCCATCCCAGCCCCTTGCCTTTCCTCCTATCCCACTACATCATGCCCATAGAGTGGACCATATTGTCCAAACAGAGACAGTGTCTCTAAATACCATCTTCTCTCTGGACCCTACCCTTTCCCAAGATGTCAGTTCCTTACTGGAGTTGTCCCAGAGGGTGAATCCCACTGAGACCATTGCTTGTCATCACATACCACCAACCCGGTCTGCGTCACCACCGCCAGACTGCAATTTATCTGTGACTCAATCTAAACCGACTTCCATCTCAAGGAAGCCTGTTCCAGAGTGCTCAACCCCACAGAACTCTGGTGGGTTGTCTACTTATGTCCCAGCAACCACAGGCATTGACCCCTCCAGCTTGTCAATTTTAGACCTCCCTTGGCGGCAAACTCATGCCAAAGACTTCTTCCCTTCAACCCTGGCTCCATGTGATTTCCATCAACAGTTTCTGGCCCTCCATTCTTCAGAGGCTTCCTCCAGGGGAAACCCTGCAGCCAACCTTGTAGAGCCTGGGAACCTCTCACTTCTCAGCCCTGATGCCCTGGCACTTCTAGAGAAACAAGTCCAAAAGAGGTGTGACTTCCTCAGGTGGAAGGAAACAAAGGGTTCTTTTCCAAAGCAAAGAATTGCTGATAAGCATGATTTGGCATCCTCCCTCCCTTTCTGGAGCAGCAAAGACCAATCAAAGGAGCTGCGTACAAAGCAGCAGCGCCCATATCCTGCAATCTTGGAGGAGGGCCGTTTACAGCAAACCCCCATCCGGCTCTTCTGGGGTCTCCAAACTCTGCATAGTAAGTCCTTCTTCCCTGCTGCTGATGCCTCAGATAACATATCGAATGCCTCCCCAGAGCAGGAATCCCCAGTAGTTCCCCATCCGCTTCCTCCATCCTTGCCTGAGAACCCGCCTCAACTCCTGCCTCAACCCCAGCCCCAACCCATCCCTCATCTCCAGCCCCAGGCCCACCTTCAATCCCCTCTCCCAATCCGGACATCTGGTCCTCTACCCGACATCAAGATCTGTGGAATGTGTTTTCACAGACCTCAGAATGAATCCGAGAGTCTCACATCAACAGAAATGCAACATCTGGAATGGAACGTGTTGCAGAAGGTACAGGAACGTGTGTGGGGTTTACCCACTGTAGTCCAAAGATCCCAGGAGGACTACTGTCCTTCCGCTCCTAACCCTTCTCTCAGCCACAAGGCCACCAAGGTCCAAGTTGTAATCTCTGTCCCTCCTGGACAGTTTCCCCTGAATGAAGAGCTTCGGAGAAAACTAGAGAGTCACCTTCAAAAGAGGCTCATCCAACACAGGTGGGGCCTGCCCCTCAGGATCTTTGAGCCCCTCACACTGATGAGCGGTCTGATGCTATTCCTGCAGGCTCTGGAAGATTCTTCAGAGTAGTCTTCCATAGCTACCTGAGTCTCAGTGCCGTCGTGGATGCTCCAAGATCTCTAATAAGAGTCAGATCAGATGGAGTGTGTCAAAAAGCGTGTATGTGGAGGACCCAGAAATTCTTCTGCTAGAGGACAGTGACCTGGCAAAGTACGAAGATGACCTGGAGAAGGATCAGGGACACAACCCCAAGAATGGCCCAAAAGATTATCTGTTGAGTGACCCAGTTAGCTCTTCAGATAATGAAATATGGGGTATGATTCTGAGAAAGAACTTAGGAGCCCAGCAGTGAAAAACTCCAGGGTGTCTGTGGAGACTATGGGTCAGAGACAACTTGAAAATGCCCTGAAGATACATTTACGCAGAAAGTCTGAGGGAATCAGTGAGGGTCAGTTGCCTGGGACTGTGCATAAGTCATGGCATACTATGAAGCACACATCACTTCTTTCTGAGAAATCCCAGACTGAAATAAAACAGGGAAGTTTGCCACCATCAGAGGTTGAGGACTACACCCTGAATACCTTCCAGGAGCTTCCCTTTGTTGAACCTAGTGCAGAACAGAAGCTGGAAGCCCATATTAAAAGGTTTAATAAGAGGGTGATTTGGGGCCTTCCCCCTAGGGTCCTTGAATCCATATAGCACTTTAAATCGAAAAAGTCCACATACTCCCTTGATGGAAGCTTGAAATCTCTCCATGGAGACAAAGCACGAACAAATTCAGCCCCCATCCCGGATCGTCCTCTCCCTGCCATCTCAACTGTGGGCAAGGAAGAACATAGAATTCTGAGGCAATCACCCTGTAATATCAACCATCAGTTGGAAGAGGATGTTCTGAAAACTAAGGATGGCAGCCAGACTCTTACATCTGTCAGATATGACACCATAGGCAGCAGACGGCCCCCAAGGCTGCCTACAAGGCAAGGTGTGTTCAGACATGAGCCAAAGGGTAAGAGTACAAATTCCAGTGCTGAAAGAGGAAGGCAACAAGGAATAAAGATGAATAATCCAGAACCTGTTCTTGTGCCCACAGAGTCCAGGGAGATATTTAGGCCCAAGGAATTTCATACACATCAATCACAACCTAGCATCTTGACAACCAACAAGCCAGTTAGCTCCCAAATTATACAGGGGTATGAGCATCAAGTCAAAACCACCATCCCACCCAACATATCAATTCTGCAAGATCCAAAATAATTGAATCTCAAAGAACAACTTTTTCATGAGTTAAAGCTACGCTGGAGGACAGGGAACGTAGCCAGGCCCAAGCCCCATACACTGGCCTGCCCCCTGCCTCAGATCATTTGACTTATAAGGCCTCACTGACTCAGGGTGTCTCCCGTGGGGACACGAAAGCTTCCCAGGTGCTGCATGTCCATCCAGAGGACAGAGGAATTACTATGGAACAACAGCAGGAGTCCTGGGTCCCTAAGCATGTCTTAAGGAAGTTCCAGAATAAGAATCCCCCACTGGCTGCAAAGACCATGAGGCCTCTGGTTTCCAAGGCACAAGAGCATGGTGGAGGGGGATGCAGGACTGGGAACATCCCAACGAGAACAGTTTCCCTACTGAAGATGTGGCATTGAAGAAGAGGTTCCCTACTCAGGATGCAGTATTGAAGATAAAGCTGGGAAGCTAGCCTTCCCAGACCCTATCACAGAAGGGTTAGCTGCCTCCTGAAAGCCTTTCACAGAAGGGTGTTTTGTTTTTTTTTTTTTTTGTTTTTTTTTTTACTGAAAGCCTTTTCAGTAAAAAAATGAATGATTTTTTTGCAATGGCTTACTCCTGGGATAAAATGCAAAAGGCAAGAAAACAAACAACAAAAAAACAAAAACAAACAAACAAAAAAAGGCAAGAAAACTCCCAGGAGAAGCATAATCCCCTATCTGTGGAAAGCAGAGGCCTACTTAACGGTAGAGCTGCCTTTAGTGGGATGCCCGAAGCTCAGAAAATCATGACAGCTGTTGGGAAGTTCCAAGAGGAGAGAATGGGGCGTCGGCGTGCAATAGGCAGCACCTGCCCTCAGCAGCCCATTCCCTCCTCAACCAAGTTGGGGAAAACTCAGCAGAAAGCACGAGTGCAGGCCCAGGCACAGCCTGTCCCAGGGTATCTGTTTAACTACAGGGTTCCCGCCCGTAAGGAGACAAATACCAGGTCCTGCCAGCAAGAAGCCGTCTTTGCTGGCCAAGGCCTTACTGGAAGTAACAGACAGCTCAGAAACAAGGACAGACAGCCCCAGAAAGTTGTGGCATTTAAGGACCAGCTACCACATCAGAAGTATCCCTTCTCCATGCCCCTCAAGGAGCCTGCGCCGCACCCAAAGGCCACCTGTGGGCATCAGGCCTCTGGCCACTCTCACGACTCCTGAAGGCATTGTGTGCAGAGATGTATCTCTACTATTTAGATAGAAAACCCTTCTCCAGAATTTCCAGTGAGAGGGTTTGGGGGGGGGCATTTCCTACCCCAAAATAATTCTTTGTGAGGAATAAATATTTCTCTAATAAAGTGATGTCTGTTCTGTGTACTATCTTGGGAGCATGGGTTTTGGGTAACTCAGTTCAGCTATTACTGATTGCTTCCTTCAGCTTCTAAAAGGTGACCAATCTCCTGGACCTCTTGGGAAATATGTATCATGTGCCCCCAAAAGCCCCCAAATGCCCATTCCCTCTCTGAATGAAGTTTGAGGAGATAGGATCTCTCTCCTGTCCCAGGGCTTAGCCTTACTGAAAATGCATAGTAGCTCACACCTCTCCCCTCATTGAATGTTTTACACCCTTTACAACAAGTCTTCTATATCTGAGGACAATCAAAGACAGGTATAGTTTTCAGAAAATAATGATTAAGCCACTGTTTCTTCACTGTTATTGTGTTACAGTAGCTTAATCATGACTTCGAGGTCAGTGATCAGAGGATCCCACAGGTGGATGAACTCTGAATGGGAGTGTTTTTGGGGGGCAGGGTGTTGTTCGGGTTGATCTTGGGCTGGTTGGGGTAGGGTTGAAGAATAGCCTAGATGATGCTGAAGAATCTGTCCTGTGAGTCACATTAAACTTGACATTGAGGTTTCCCACTGGAAGTGCTTCCCTTCCCTGGGTGTTTCTTCAGGCTGCTGGACTGAGGATGTTTTTTGCAGAACAAAAGCATCACTTGGTGGAACAAAGTTTATGTCTAATCATCCCCTTCTCAGGACCCTGTCCTGCTCCACTCCTTCCTCAGTCTGATCCAGGCACCACCACTTTGAGGCAGACTGGAATCTGGCACAGCCTACCGATGCCTTACACCAAAAACGCATGGTTCTGTTCCTTGAGTATGCAAGCAATACCTGCAGGCTGTCAGGCATGGCATCCCCTTTGGGGGAAGGTGATCTTGGTGCCTGCCTTCCATCCACACTCGATGACAATATATAAGATACGGCCTTTACTATGGCTAGGATGGC